TAGGACAAAAATAAATATCTAAGCAAAAATCGAGGAAATCTAAGAGTCCTGAATTGTGAAATAATGAAATAAAATGAGTCCTTAGCAGCAAAATAAATAAATAAATTGGGAGCAGAGAAGAAGAACAGCTGTCTTCTTCTGTTTCTGTGATATTTAATTTTATTCTTTTTGATAAATAATTTGTTATAAGAATAAAGAAAAGAGTAACAAGTTGGGTAGAGAAAAACAAGTCAGCGTGACGTGTATACTATTATCTCAATTAGCTGTGCTTGACCAAACTCTGACTCAGCATCTACTCACATATCCTTTGTTTGTCTTTTTTGTTTAAACAAAACTCGTTATTTTTTATTTTCCAAATTACGTTTAATTTTGACAATTTACATGAATAATTTAATCTATGTTTTAAAGTCTAAACTTTAAGAAAAGGGAACTAAGCATAAAACCAGAGCAAAAAGAATGGACAAATGCTTAAAGTCTAAACGGACAAATTTTACTAACCAAGCTTTTTATATATTTGACGATTTAAGCTAATCGAAATAGACAGATAAGAATGTTTTTAAAAGTAAATATTTTTAATTCGTATAGGCTAAGATGTGTAACATTAGAAATCTCAAATTTTAGTGGTATGTATAGTAAAACGTTTAAGAATGTCGGTGATCAATCAGAATATTATTCTAAAATCTATAAAAATAGAATTAATTTTGAAGTCGTTTATCGTATTACATACAGTATGTTTTTATATTTAGGTGTTATTATTAGTTTTAACTAAGAGATGTGTGTTCGAAAAAAAAAGAGACAAATGATGTATTTGGTAAGGTGTTATTAGATACACAAGAAATTGCGGCGGGGATACTCCACCGTCCAAGCACTTTGTCTTCATGTGTGTAACCCGTGATATTCATTATTCACCTTTCGAATCATATTTTGTCGTTTGATTTAATTTATAACAAAAAATAACTACAACATTTTATAAAGCACATGATAAAAGATTTTAGGTGGCTGAAAAAAAGCACAAAGTTGTTCTTTGACATATATTTTGTTTGATATGCCTTTTTTTTGTTTGATATGTCGATATTTATTTATCGTGGATCAAGACTTATATGTAACTTATTACATAGATGTAATTAATCAAGGTATATAATTTTTTTCCTTTTTTGATATTGATGTCCAGATCTAACTCAACGAATCTGAAGTAAACAAGTTTTTTTTTCTTTGAACTAAATGAAAAGTTTATTCAACTAAAAAAAAAGTTTTTACATCAAATATTTCGTTAAATTTAAGTTTTCGACATTTTTAAAGTCAACAAAAAAATTACTAATGCAAAAAAATTCGAAAAACCTACGATTGTGAATGGAATAGTCTTTCATAGCCTTGATTGATGATAATCTGTTTAGAAATAGCTTAGCGGCATGGTGGATTAGCCGAATAGATGGAATGAGTTTTTTTCTTTTCCATGTTCCGTGCGTTCATTTCTCTTATTTCTTTTCCTAGACAATGAACTGTCGACTAAAACACATACTGTCTAGTTAAGAACCAAGCGATACACAATTGACTTGTAAACAATTATTATAACATTTTGATTAAAATATTAAAATTATTATTAAAAAAATAAATAAATAATGAACGTTATGTTCCGTCAACACGAGTACGTAAACTAAATAAAAGGATAAGAGTTAAAGAATTAAACTAGTCAAAGAAAATAGTTTGAATATTTATTTAAACATTTAAAAAATTAAGATATTAAGAAGTTTATTAAAATTTAGTTGGAGTATTTTTATAGA